AGCTGTGGCAGCATGTTCTGGCGAGTTGTACTGTGACGTGTTGTCCTGTGCTGTGTGCGTGATTTGCGCAGTCCTGCATATGTGTCATGGCAGGCGTGTATATCACTGCCGATGTGATTGTATATTACTGCGCACGTGATTTGTCAGCCTGGCAGTGGCGGGTCGTGCATCATCTGTGCCGCCACAAGTGGATTCGGTTAGCGACCTGCATGAATGTGTTGGCCTGGCCTAGTGAGCAGCAGCCTTTCAGCGCTCTGCAGTACTTGAGCCACCTGCTGCCAACGACTTTGTGACCGTCACGACACATCACCGTGTCAGGCAGGCACAAGGCATCGGTTGGCTCCTTGGGACCATCAGCCGCTGTGTGGCAGCTCCGTTACCCCGACAACCGGTCTAGACTGGTGAGATCTGGGCGTGTCGTATGTGTACGCTGTAGAATACAGCTGTATTTGTATTATGTGGACCAGCTGGTAGCCTGCAGGCTGGAGGCTGTTGGAGCCAAGGTAGTGGTGGTACAATGGCACAGTGGTTGCGCAGCATGGCAGTCATATGAGTGTTGTCGTTAGGCTGGGCAGCCATGGCATATGACATCCACAGTTGTATGCTGGAATGGGGCGTTGCTTGCGACAAGCGCTGCGCCAGCGTTTGTAACATAACCAGTTGTTGGACCCAGGGGACCTTTCTGCTGCATGGCAACACCCTTTCAGCTGGGCTCCGAAGATTGGTTGCATGTGCAGGCACTGCTTGTAGGACAGCAACCTGCTGCAGTTCCTATAAAGTTGGGAACCCGGTCATCCATGTTGAGACGCACTAAAGGAGTGAAGCCATGCAGGGTTACGGTCTGTTACACCGACTAGTTGCAGTACTGCAAGCATATTTTGAGGTTGTTTGCAGCTTCCTGCATGAAGGCGGTCTGGTCAACAAGCAAGGCCACATGCATCTGAGATTATCAGGCAGCCAGTGGCCCAAAGTACTGTGCTTCATCAAGCAGCCTCCTGTCCACCCCCTTCTGGCAGCTCAACAGCCTGCCTGCCTGCAGGCAGCCTGCCTGCAGGCAGGCAGGCTGAGAGGCAATGCCAAGCTGCAGCGACCCGTGTAATCAGGCTCTGGGCCATGGATGTTACTCATGCAGCAGCACATCACATTATGCTGAAGCCGGAGCTGTCATTGACCCATGAAACTTCCATTATGTGACCGGTGCAACTCGTGCATGCACTGCATCTGATGCGGGCGCACACTGTCCTGCTGGCAAATGGCAAGCCAAAGCCCTACAGTGTTGACACCCCTGCAATGATTCAGCCTGCGCTGCACGCTCTGCTTCACAGCAGCCAGCTCCTGCTCAGCAGGCTGCAGCATTGCTACTGTCAGCAGCAACGGCAGCAAAAACATGGTGGCATAACTGGACAGTGCTGCGGCAGCTGTACTGCAGCTGCGGCTGTAGCAGCTCCCTGCAACAATCAAGCCTGCACTGCATCACTCTGACCCACAGTGCCCAGCTCCTGCTGCAGCGCTGCTATCTGCTGCTGCGCTGCAATCAGCTGAGCCTGCAGCTGCTGCACATCAATCTGGCCGTCGTTGCTGCTGCTGCCACCACCTTGCGCTGTGGCTTTGCCACCAGCAGCTGGCTTCTTCTTCGCCTCCTGCTGGTGCTGGTGCTGGTGCTGGTGCTGCTGCTGCTGCTGCTGCTGCTGCGGTTGCTGCTGCTCTGAGGCCCCCGCTGCTGCCTCATAGTCGTCGTCATAAACATCATCAAAGTCATCGTCATCATACGCCTCATCATCTTCGTCACCAGACACTGCGGCTGCATCAGCCGCTGCTTCCAGCACCAGCCGTGTGGGCTTGCGCTGCCGCTTGCTGCTGCGCAGCGCAGCAGCGTCCTGCTCACCGTCTGTGCCTTCATCCCAGTACCCTGCTGCTTCCGCTGCTGCCGCTCGTGCTGCCTCCATCTCCGCCTTTGTCCGCCGCTTGCGCTTCCTCTTATCCTGCAGCACGCCGGCAGCAGCTGCGGCTGCCTCTGCTGCCCTTGCTGCCTCCATCTCCGCCTTGGTGCGGCGCTTGCGCTTCTTCTTGACCGGCAGCAGCCCAGCCGCTAGTGCTTCTGCTTCGCTGCTCGCGCTGCCTCCATCTCTGCCTTGGTTCTCCTCCGTCGCCGCTTCTTGGCATGCTGCTGCTCGCCCGCTGCTGCTGAGTCGTACCCTGCGTCTTCATCCGAGTCCGAATCCGAATCATCACTGTCATACCCAGCAGCAGCACCTGGCAGCAGCCCTGCTGCTTGCTGCGCCGCAAACCTCTCCTGCAGCGCCTGCTGCAGCATGTGCTGCTGCACCTGCTGCTGCTCCTGCTGCCGCGCCAGATCCTCCAGCTGCCGCGCGTGGGCCTCCTGCTGCTCCTGCCCCTGCTGCTGCACCAGCTTGTACGCGGGCTTCGTCATGACCTCATTCGCAAGCACCTCTGCTGCTACGTAGTACGCAGCTGCCTTGCTGCGGGGGCCGTAGCCTGGATTTGTGGTCGCTACTGCATTGAACAGGCAGCTGCTGGTGAGGGCAGCCTGCACGACCGCAGGCACCGGGATGTCATCCGTGGCTTCATCGTCGGCGCCGATTACTACGACGTTGGTGTACAGGGGCCGCACCGATTGACTGGTGCGAATGGGCTTGTCATAGATGATGCTGACGTCACCCAATGCGGCAGCAGCTAGGGCTGCTGCTGCTGCAGCGTCCGCGCCCACAGCAGCAGAAGCGCCTGTAGCGGCAGCAGCAGCCTTTGCTACAGCACCGCCAGCAGCAAGAGCACTGCGCACATCTGCTGCTGCAGACCGCGGCACTGCTGCTGCTGCTGCCGCCGCCGCCGCATCAGCAGCAGTAGGTGCTGCGGCTGCTGCTGTTGCATCAGCGCCCTTGCTGCTCCCACTCTTTCTCACAATATGCAGCTGCAGCACCTTGTCACATCTGCCTAGCACCTTCACCCACTGCTGCTGCTGCGGCTGCTGCTGCTGCTGCGGCTGACCTTGCTGGTGCTGCGGTTGCTGCAAGTGCTTGTGCAGCAGTGGCGTGGGGTCCCGTGTCGCAATCAGCAGGTCCCCAAACTGCATGCCTAGCCGTTTCAGCAGCGGAACAACCCACAGCTTGCGATGATCACCATGGGTTTTGTGGTGCTTCCCAAATTCGTATTCCACTGCACGTATGCACCCATCAGGATCGCACACAAGCAGCACGTGTGTGGGCTTGGGGCGTTCTGCGCCTGCTGACCCGCCCACACCTTGCTGCTGCTGCTGCAGCAGCCGCTGCTGCTGCAGCTGGTCGTGCTGGTTGTTGGCTGCTGCATCTGCGGCTGCCTCCTGCTCTGTGCCGGCTGCGCCGTTAGGTATTACTACTGCTGGTGATGTCGCTGCTGCTGCAGGCATGCTGATCACACCCCGCTGCTGCTGTCGTTGCTGCTGCTGCTGCTGCTGCTGTCGCTGCTGCTGCTGCTGCTGCTGCTGCTGCTGGTTTGCTGCTGCTGCTGCTGCCAGCGCCTCTGGGCTGTCTGCTGGCAGCGCCAGCGCGTCCATGAGGTTTGCCTGCTTGGGCCCCCAGAAGTCATACGTGCCCTTCTCAAAGTGGCTGGGGTTGGTCTCCTGCAACAAGACAGCGGCAGCGGCAGCAGCAGCAGCAGCAGGACAAGCAGGACAAAGAGGTTGTAGAGTAAAAACAGGAGGACGAACAGCAAGACGAAGTCATATGTGCCCTGTACACGGTGGCTGGGGTTAGTGTTCCGAATAACAGAGCAGCCATGACATCAAGTGTGGTTGACAGCTGTACACTCAGCACTGCTGGAAGCAGTACCATTCTGTCTGCCCGTCACAAAGCAGCTAATGCTGCCTTCAAAAAGCAGGTGGTGCTCCACTTCCGACAACAGCTACTGCTGCTGCTGCTGCTTGCCCTGCACTGACAAGCTGGTGCGCATGCTACCACCTGTACTGCAGCCGCATCACATTGTGTGGAATGCAATGCTGCCCCTGCACCTGTGCTCCACTCACCCGCCTGAAGACCTCGTTGGGCAGCAGGGGCACGGTGTAGCGAGCAGTGCCTGCCTTGCTGGCCGGCACGGCCGCAGCCTGGGGCTCCTGCAGGGCGGCGAGGCAGCAACGAGAGCACAAGAACAGCGGCATGAGACAGGCGGGGTCGCGCAATGTTGAGGAACTCGCGCCACCTGCAACTCCGCTGGCGGTGGTGTGGTGGGCAAGTGCAGCGACAGAGGCTGGCTGTGCCAGGCGTGTGTGCAACACAACGCGCCAGAATTCAGACAACTAAACAGAGGACCTCAGACGCGTCGCTGACGTGGCACCGCAGCATGGAGCAAGCTTGCCCGCTCGCAGAGCTGCGGAGGCATGACAGCGCGCACCAGCACAGAGACACCAGCGCTGTTGTGTGCACATGTGCTGCGCATGCTTGCACAAGAGGGCGATGCAGCCCTCGCCATCAGACAAAAGCTCCACGCGCCGGCCCACCTTGACAGCCCGCAGGCTCGGCTCCTGGCAGGACACGCACAGCGCGCGCCCGTCGGCGCCCTGCGCCAGCGGCTGCCGTACGTGCGCGTGTAGCAGGCGCCGTGGCACGCCAGCTGGCAGCCGTCGCAGCCGCGCAGCGGGACGCCCGGCAGCCGCTGCCGGCAGAAGGGGCAGTACCAGGTGTGGCTGGCCAGGTCCGCGGCGGCGCTGGCGTCCTGGGTGAGGAAGGCCAGCAGCTCCTGCGCATCGTGTATCAACAAGGGGTTGCAGGAGGACAGATACAAGCAGGACAGTAGGTATGAGGAAGGGTGTGTAAGCAGTGCTTAGTCCGGGCCAATGGTAGTAGAAGTACGCTGATGCAACTGCTTGCACACTCATCATGCTCATCATCATGTGCAGCCAAGCCAAAGTCCTGCAGGGAGGGCGCCAGAGCAGGCCTGCATCATCATGGCACCTCCTGCCAGCCTGCAGCACCGTTGCAAACAGCGATGCACTTGCCGCTGCGCTAGGTGGGGAACTGTGGGAGTTGAACCCATGATCTCTCGCACCCTAAGCGAGAATCATACCACGAGACCAAGTTCCCACTGTGAAGCAGGCGAATGGCAACCGACTGGCAGGCAGGCAGCAGCACTGAGGCAGCGCTGGTGCAAGCATGCTGGAAGACAAAGCCGGCCGAGTCTCAACCCGTCGGCACTTGTGATGCCAGCCTACCTAGCGCGCCTGCTGCTGCTGCATACCTGTCCCCTGCCTTACGCTGTGGCACTGCATCAACACTGTACGCTCACCATTGCTGCAGTACTGCAGAGCATGAAGACCTCACAGAACCCCAGCACCCTCGGGTTCAACACCCCGAACCCTGAACCCTGAACCCCACCTGCCAGCTCAGCTCCGACTGCGCCTCCACCACCACAGTCTCCCGCTCAAACACCTGCCGGCCATGCTCCGCAAACTCCCTGACGCTGTTGAAGTTGCTGCTGCCGCTGGTCGTGCAGCTGCTGCAGCTGCACTTGATGAAGGCTGGGCTTGCCGGCGCTGACCTTGGCCTCACACAGCACCTGCAGCGGGCGCAGAGGGAGGCAGTCCTGCAGGACAGCAGCAACCGGGCGGAGGGCGGCAACACACAGATTGCGCAGCTGGTGAGCTTGCAGTCAGCAGAACTGAAATGCTGCTGCTGCTTGCTGCTGTACAAGCATGCACTGCTGCAAGTCTGGCAGAGCCCCTGCAACTGCCACTGTGCCTGGACGGTCATACATGACTTTGCGCATACCATGCTTACATGTCTGCCTGCTGCTGTTCAATCTGCTATTGTTTGATTACGGTTTGCTGCCGCTTTCCATTGCAGGATCAACCTGCTTGCTCATCAACAGCAACTGCAGCTGCACTCGGCAGAGTTATATCGTCGCTGACAGCTTCGTGGCAAAGCTGCGGGCTCGCTGAAGCGGCACTGAGGCAGCGCGCCGGGCTGCTGCTGCATGTTGTGGCTGCTGCCACAGACTCAAAGTCAACAACAGCTACAGCAAACCAGTCAACAGCTGCTAAGGGGCTGCTTGGCTGCCAAGCACAATCGCGCTGTGAACTCTGCTGCTGCAACAGATACAGCCACAGCTACTGCACCCCACTCACCGGCTGCTGTGGGTCTGCTTTGCAGCAGAGCAGCGTCCTGCGCTTCATGAGCTTGGAGCACAGCACTGCAGCAGCCAGCTCCTCACTGCTGCTGCTTTCCTGCAAGCCTTGCAGGGAGTGCAGCAGTCCCCCCAGCTCCTTCGTTGCTGTCTTGAGCAGGCCCCTGCGCACCTGCAGGAACAAGAAATTCAAATGCATGGTATGGCTGCAGTAACAAGCAACACCAGCATACTACCTGTGATTGATTGTTTGGGTCTTATCAAGTTTGTGATAATGACAGACAAATATGGACAGTTGCGTGATGCGTAATTGAACAGTGCCACAGCGCAAGGCAGCTGTCAGCTGACGCAGTGCGCTAGCGCAGCGCTGCAGAGTCAGCAGCATAGATGTGCCAATGTGCCTTGGTGCTAGCGTTGCTGTGCAGGTTGCATGCACAACCGGAGGATGTGGCGATTCAGCCTGATGCCCTTGCGGAGATCAACCTTGTGCAGCCCTTAGCAGATGTCTGGATGTGATGGTCAGCGGCACCTCTTCACTGTTTATGCATCCTCCAAGATGCATGGTTGTTAAGGCAACTCGTGAGCGGCTGTGCTCTGCCATGCGTGCTCCTGAAGCCCAAACAGGACTGCAAACTACACAATACGGCAGTAATCCGTACTCTTGCTGCATAATGAATGTGTTGTGGCAAAACATATGATTTACTGCTGTTGCTGCATCAGATTCACTCACATCAATCTTCTCCTTGTCCTTGATGTGGGCGGGAATCAGCTGATGCGGCAACAGTGGTCCAGCATCCTGGTGGCGCTCTGCATTACGTGTGGCTGGCGTCCCAAACTCCTCCTCGCCGCTGTCTGAGCTGCCACTCCTGCTAGGGGTGGCACTATGTGCGTGCCCTCTGCTTTGTTCCTCGTCCATGGCTGCCTCAAATTGATTTAAAAGATCAGAGCCTCTCTGCTGTTTTCATATAGAACGATGCAAGTGTTCATCGATGAAGTGTTGTGGTGACCACCCGCGGGGTGCTGTGGGGCGCGACATGCCGTTTTTAGTCAACGTCAGCCGCTTGTTCGCATCTAGCTGCCGATGAGAGGCACTGCTACAGGTGGAGAGCTTGCGGTGGTTCAGCTTTTGAAAGCGCTCCAACCCGTTAGGACTTGCTGCCCATCTCTTTTGTCGTCAAAACATTTAGTAAACAAAATTATAACTGTCGAGTATGCAAGAAGGCCTGAGTACAGCAGCTCACACCAAGCTCATGCACTTGTCAGCACAGGCTGTAGCATGTCTCCTGTATAGTGTACACGCCCCTGGCCCTCGCCACAAAAGTAGACACTAGTTTTCAAATTGATCAACACAACAGTAGTATCACAAACCAGTTCAGTCGAGAGTTCGCTCGCAGTTCTTAACATTCGCAAAGTAGCGCTTGGCTGAAGGCAAAAGGTAAATCCCCAACGGAGAAAGACAACAACATTTTCTTTAATTGAAGTATTGTCTTCTAAGTATTTAGCAAGCTAGCAGTACATAGCCACAGCTGACTTTAGCACGTAGCACGTTGGCGCAGGGCGCAGGCTGTCAGCCTGAGCGCTTCGTAGAAGAGCAAGGAAAATGCTGCCGGTACTAGGAGGTGAGCTTTGGCAGCTGCTCAGGTATCAGCACGGCACAGCAGGGCACATGTGCAGCAGTACTCTTCACTGGCCTGGTCAGACATAACTTTGCTTGCAGGAAATTTGGACCTGCGCAGTAGCTCCCAACATATCAAACCGTTCCTGTATGTTCATGCAGTCATATACTCTCAGCTATGTACAAGCCAGCAGTGTGCAAACCAATAACTCCATGCTGCAGCTGCTGTCACCGGCTGACCTGTCACAGCTGCGCTCAGCTGCTGACAACCCTCCTCGCAAGTTATTGCTCAAACCCCAATGCCAATGTCTGGTTTGGCTTGATGTGATGGCACTGCAGGCGAGGGCAGCAAGTCGGCCAAGAACTCCACGCTGATCAGCAGGCTGCTGGGGCGCAGCGCGTCCAGGGAGCGCAGCAGCTCGCCGGCAGAGGCCGAGTCGCCACGCAACAACCGCGCAGGCGGCGGCGGCATCCTGCAGCCCACAGGTGAGCCTGTTGTGGCTGCCTACAAGCCGCCTAAGGTAGCAAGCCGAGCGCATGACATGCGTTGTGCATAGCAGAATTGCACAGGTGTGCTTGTGGCACCGCAGCAACCTGCCGCCGCGCACGCTGCAGCATCCATGCTTCACATCAACTGAGCCTTGAGCTGAGGGGTTGTTGTCACAAGCACCGCTGCGGCCCTGTCTCTCACCCAGCCTGCCTGAAAACCTGCAGCAGGCACCACTGCTGCTCCTTGCACTTCAGCCAGTAACCAACCCCACCAACACTCACCTGCCTGCATGCCCTACCATCCCAGCATGGCACGGTCGACATGCAAGATATCAACACACTGTGTGCGACTGTCTTGTGTGCGTGTAGCCAACGAGTCGTCTGCTTCTGCCTCCAAGGCCAACATGTTGGTCAGCCCGCGCCAGCCTGGCGCAGCGGTGACACGCGGCGACGGCCTGGCCGGCAAGATGTGTCCGCCACCCATGGGGTCACCGTCAACTGGCAGCAACATTGCTACGGTGAGATCATCACGCACCCGTACAGTTGCCGAGTTTGTCAGTATGTTTTGTATTTTTATGTGAAGGTTTGTTGGCACAGCTGGCAATGCAGCCCCACCCCATCAAGGTGACCCCTGATTGTGATCGCACTGTCACCACCCACCAGTAAGCATGTGTTGGGGTTGTGCTTTACAAGCACCCGATGGCGCTCCCTTTTGCAACCAGATCTGCAGCACCACTGCTTGCTGTTGCCGCCGCAGCGCTGACAATGAGCAGCCACACTCGATGCCTGTCCGCAGCACCATAACAAGCACCTGCATTTGCCCCTCCCTGCCCTGCTCACAAGTGGTACGCTGCTACACTCATCAGCACTTTGCCTGGCAGACGTACTGCAGTCATGCCGACACACTGCAGCTGTCTACCTAATCCCCGTTCTACCCTCCCCTCCCCTCCCCTGGCGCCCCATGCTGTGTGTCCCTGTGCGCCCTGCATGCATATGCAGTCCCCGGACTCCTCGCACAGCAAGCGCCTGCTGTTCGCCACCACACCCTCCACCAAGCAGCTGCAGGCGGCCAAGGAGGACACCAGCGGGGGCGACTCCACCAACGGCAGGGTGGCAGCGATGCTGGACCACAACCACGTCTTCAAGCGCAGCCACACCACCGACCTGGTCATTGGCGCAGGTGAGGGGGCGTGACAGCAGAAGAAGTGGTGGTGGTGTTCTGGTGCCTTATGGTGTGTCACAGCACCCTTCACAGCAGCCGCCATTGTTGGGGGTTGTTGGCTGGCGACATGTTGAGATGTTGGGATGCCGAGCAAGTGTACACGCCATGCGATGTTTGAATCTCGCAGACACTGCAGCTGCATCACACCAATGCAGTTGGTAGTGCCTCCAGTGTGTCATCGTACGCAGGTGTTGACGCCTGCTGCTGCTACTGCTGCTGCTGCTGCTGCTGCTGCTGCTGCTGCTGCTGCTGCTGCTGCTGCTGGTACTTTGCAGGTGCCAGCAGCCGCGCACTGGGTGGCGCCTCTAAGCTGACGCCGCTCACCACTGCCACTGCTATTGCCAACGTGGGCGGCGCCAGCACCAGCCCACACCCTGCGCAAGCACGCAAGCCTGCTGAAAGCATCAAGGCAGATGCGATTGCTGACCTGACGCCAGAAGCATTGACTCCAAGTCTAATGAGGAGCTCACGCGCATGTTTAAGACATTGCAGAAGGAGGCACAGAGTCTGAAGAAGCAGTACGAGGAGATCTCAGGCTCAGGGTCAGGCGGCCGCAAGGCGTCCCCCAGCCTGATTGTGGAGTTTGCGGAGCCGCGCCACCAGCAGCGCCCCAGCATGATCGCACACAGCCTGGA